GGTTGGGGAGACGGAGAGGTGAAGACGAAGTTGTGAGAGTCGTGAGATGGATAACTGTACGGGGTCGAGACCACAAGGCAAGAGGGCTCATGCGGCGGCGGACAAAGACGAAGTGCTCCGGACCGATTACATTACTATTTGCTAGCAAATTCAGATCTAATTACGGAGTACAGTCTCTTCCGTCCATTGCATAGCATAGTATAGCCCCGTTGAAAGAATGGATCGTAGCGCGCTCAGTTTCACTCAGTGAGCGGAAGCCGGCAAGGGGTGAACACTTATACGGAAAGCAGACACCACCCGGTACATATAGAATCGTTCCTACAATTTTGCTACCTTAAGTAACGGAGATACGCGTTTAGAGATCAATAGAAGACGGAAGAGAGAAATGCTATCGCTAGCGTCGCGAAACTACGGAAAGAAAGTAAAAGGAAGCATGGCTGGAGAAATATATACCCAGGCAGACAATGACCAGAAACATTGCGTTCAGTCGAGAACAAGTATTTCTGCTGCGTCCGTACGTCGAACTTGCTTAAATAACCTCTACGACTGAATGTGTTTGCTTAATATAAAAAGACCTCGACAGTGTTCCCGACTTTAAATATATGTAGTGGGTCCGGTGTAGACATATTGAAAGCCTTTGCAGCTCGAACTATTAGGACCAGCCGCTATCAGACATCGTGAAAAGGAATGCAAGAAGATTTCAGATGGATCCTTTATAGTCATACACATAGAACTATGTGCATCAGCTTCAAGTTGCAGGTACAGTGGCCAAGTTCAATATCAAAGCTCTAAGCAACTGATGTTATCTGCAGGAGACTTCCGACCGAACAAGTTTTCAAGAATCTGATGGACAAATGGTGATCTCCAAGGCGTCAGACACCGTGTTCGGGTTGGAGAGAATTGTCCTATATATAAGCACAGAGCTGCGTAAACTGCTTCCATTAGGTACCATGCGTACAGACACCTGCTACGTACGATCCAGGTCCGAGGACTCAACCATCAAAACGGTGTGTCCGGCACAAATAGCACGGTAGCCATGTATACGTTCCCTGTTATGACCTCTTGCCTGAAAATCCCGCAAAGATGGAGCGGTGGCTTATTGCTCATTAACTCATGCCCATAAGGACGGAGGCTACTACCGGCAATTGGAGGATGGTGAGCCCGTGCCACAACCGAAATCAATGTCACGATTGAAATGTCGGGTCCGAGTGGAGGGCTGAAAATTGAGTTTCTCTAGTCAAACTTGCAGGCAAGATGATACCGGAAGAGACCCGCTCTCGATTTTGGGTCTGTTCCCTCGGGTCCATGGGTCCCAAGGTATTTGGAAAGCTTAAGGTCGTTTCCAGTCATTTCGGATCCACCTGTGCCTGGGGTTAAAGTCGGTTCCCGACTGATAATGTACAGAAATTATTTCTCTACACCTTCAGGGCTACTATGATTGGTCAGTGCGCTTGACACCAACTTTCTATATTCGGTCGAATCCTGACAGCCAGACGCTTATCTTTAATCTGAGGTCGAATTGGTTCTGGGCTCTCCCTTGACAACCCCAGAGGCGGCGATATTTGCCATAGCGCTTTACACGTGTAAGGATAGTGGTCGAGAAAAGCGAGAGCGACGGAACTAATGACCACTAAGAATAAAACTAAGCTTTGACGGAGTACTTAGCCAATGACTTTAATCTCTGGCGACTTGATGCTAAGTACGGTGAAGGGAACAACGGAGTCATAGGTGCATGCTACTTGGGTATATTCACAGCCACCACCAAAGTAACTATACTCCCAAAGAACATTGCAAATCGTGCCCAGCGTCAACCCCCCCGGACACCACCGAGATAACCCAAGGTCAGAGTTCCAATAATGCAGGTTTCCTGCAACGATATCCTGGTACCAGGATTTAGCCCTCTGTATCCAGCTAGCAATGGTAACGGAATGTCACAAGCGGGAGCCCCGGGAGCACCACCCGCCGAGACGCACTTATTCCTACATGCTCAATAATATTACGCAATATATGTGTACAACGTACAACAGGAACACCAGATATTCCGTTACAGAGCATAAAAATAAAGCGGAACAGTATCGTCAAATATGCAATCCCTCGAGGTGTCGCGCAACACTAGCAGTACTTGTAAGAGCAGCTGGCACCCACGGGCGGATGGTGATCCGCTTATGCGCATAATGTGGTCGTGATAAGGGGAGATAGTCTGTCGATAATATACAGAATATGGAGTAAAAGAAGTACAATAATAGAATTGACTGTAATACTGTGCCTCGTATGTATTCCGTTGTTGATCATTTCATCTCTTGGGTCTTACGGCCCGCACATATACGCAAGGGACACATTTTTCCCACGCCACTTACTGAGGGGGCTTTGTATCCGATTTTCTTGTGGGGATTGTGCAACAATGGGTGTTACAGAGTTTGGGGCCAATGCGGCTCAGGGGATGGATGGGATGTACATATTCTTGGTTTGCTGCTCGGCGTCTACCCAATGTACTACGCCGTATTCCGTACCGAGGCCCGTGTTATTGATTGCGTGGAACTAATATTCTTTTGGAGTTCTTTTGTCGCTTTTGCCAATGATAATAATAAGGCTGCCTGGAAAAGAGCGTCGGCCATGGGATGGACCGTCCAATAGATTCTAGACGTGGAGCCATAGATACATAGGCCAAAAGACATCAGGCAGATCGGTAAAAGGTATGAGAGGCCGATACTTGTGAGATTCCTAATTTCAAAGTCAAGTGCTGACTGACTCAAGGCCAAAACCTCCATATCTCTCATTGCAATAGGAAGTGGAATTGACGGTACCGTTATATCCGCACGACTGTACGGAATCTGCGGCCCGTTAGCCCCATCGAATAGCATCAAATCAATTGACACGGTTACATTTTCCGTGTTTGTGGCTGGGCTCAGTCCAAGTAGCAATACTACCAGAGCCCCCTAAAAAAAAAAAGCAAAAATAAAATCGAAACGACAAAAGCAAAGAGACGGTGGAGGAATAATAATAATAATACACAACGACACTCAGTCATAACATTGGGCTTTGCTACAGCTGCAGTCCCTGCCGCCGCAGGCCGAGATCCTGGTGGCGCTAGTTAATCATAACCATTTTCAAGTGTTGGCTATCGTATATCACTGGGACCCGAAAAAGAAAGAATGCCTAAAAACCATATGAGTAATGGAGTGGTGATCCGAGGTCAAATTTCAGTGATCAGCTTCTTCGTCTGCCATCCGCGGTCCCCCGCTCCCAGTAGACACTGTCGATCCGGGAGCAGGGAACCGATCCCAATGGTAGTTCAAGCCCAATTAACCGTGGAGTTCTTCCACCTTACGGATACAGAAAACAACTGTCCTTTACGTTCGAAGAATGCTTCGACTCTAGCTCCGGGTCGCCACCTCCGCTTATGCACGATGCCGCAGGACAGCAGAATTTGGAATTGCCCATGCTAGTGGCGATTCGATGCATGCCTCGAGCAGGTGTGCATTTATATCATGCTGGAAAAAAAGAAACAATGAAGATTGACCAGGATTATTTATTATCGGGTTTGGTATCCGCACGCCCGGAACCACAAACCAACTTCCGCGAACTTGAAAATAAACTCAAGATTCGATGGTCGCGTCTGGGGCCTTGAATCCGGGGGCCTCAGCGTTCGGACACAGGCAGACAGAAAAGATTTATCTCCAGGTCTTCAGGCCCCCGGTTAGAGATTAGGTTGGAGAAGGGCCGCACGGACAGTGGTACTCTGACCAAGTGCACAGTTGAGATAAACACTGTGCGTACTGGAAGCCTGACATTATTTATCGTACCCACAAATTCCCGACGAAAAAGTAGAAAAAAGAAGGGGAAAAAACACTGAGCTGTGGGCGCAGCCGCGTGTACTATGTAGTCGAACAAGCCACTGGGCTGACGGACTGGCAACGCAAGTAAGTATCCATACAGAGCAGATCCACAGGAATTAGAGAGATTCACCACCATGCATTAGTCAGTGGTCCATTAGCCTCTCTTGGCTTGCAGGAGATGATCTCAGAGGCGTCGAGGATGACCGCTCTTCTTCTTTTCACCTGTGGTGGCTGGTGTGGCTAAGGGATCGCCGATCAGTCAATACGATTGGATAGATAAATGTTTCCACCATTGGTCTATTGGGCCGTCGTTCGATTAGGCACAGCTTGGAACTCCTGCCATATCATATCTACCATTTCATGATAAACTGGAAAGTTAGAGGGTAAACTTAGGTATTGATGCGGGAAATTTATTTATGGATACAACGGCTTGCTGCAGATAGCCTACAAGTAGTGGAGATAGCGGAGACGGTGTTGCGAGGTTTGGATGTATTTGGAAATATCTGAATCATTTGATTTGTTGTTTATTCGAACAATTGCCGATCTTTGTGGCTCGTCTCTAACCGTAGTTGAGACGTCCCAAGAAGTGTTTGGGCCGATCTCGGATCCCCCGACGGAACAATGGAACGAACAAGGTTATGTGACTCTCATCCATGGATCACAGCCCTAAGGTGCGTCAATGCGCAGAACGGACTCGACCCATCTACGCATTGCCAAGGGGGAGAAGCGGATGCTCCAATCACGAGATGCAGAAAGAAGTGATACGGAAGCTTTGGTATTGCCACACGCTCAGCTTTGCAGCTATTCATTTTTCCTTGCATTAGCACCAAGCCGATCCGTACTTTCCAGGGGACATCGATGTCATGTGGAGATATGCCAATAGTCGGGGTCTGGCGTCGGAATTGGGAGATCATGGACAGTCCCGTATTATTACTCTGTAGTGTGTGGTATATTTATCTCGCCTGGACCCTGCCCCTGATTGAACGCCCCGGATTTCTTATCCATCGGCAAGCTGCGTGTACTCTCCTTTTTCTAATTCCGATTGTTGAGCGAGCCATTTCCATTCTGTATTCTGGAATTTGTATTGCAGGTTACTGTGCTTAACAAGCGCAGTGAGCCCCGATCTTGTGGATTCGATTTTCAAACCCCGTACTATCTCACAATATGGATATGAATCGTGGATATGCATTTCCTGGTGAGGTGCTGGAGCGAAGACACTCTGATACGTGCATTCCGCAACAACCACCCGTGAACATGGTAATAGAACTCCTAATTCCAAAACAGAAGGCAACGTGCATCAAGTTTGGCTAATAATCAAATAGCCGATCTCTCCTAAACCACCTCATACCCCGGAATACACACATCCACACTTCGCCATGATATACCTCGACCACAACGGTCAATGGCAACTGCAAGCCTCGCCCTCAATTGCAGGCTGCGAAGGCGCTATTTTCACACCAGATGTTACAAACAAATTCATAGAAATGACTGGCCAGACCCCACAGACCAATCCGCAGTTCACAAGTGAGCCAGTTTCTAGAGTCAAAGCTCCGGAATAACAGGACTGACTTCCTTTGTCTTTGCAGACCCAAGCCAAGCACCCCACTCCCCTTGGGACGAGCAACCATCTTCGGAATGGGGGCAAACCGGTCTGGCGAGACCGGCCGAGATGATTCCGTTCCAATGGTCTTCGCAGCAAAGCCGGAAAAAGTCAAAGCGATCCGGCGGTATGTCCAAGTCTCGACCTAAATCTAGCTCGCCGCCGCCTGCCACACCTCCACCTGGGCGGACTGTCCTTCGCGTCGGTAACCGGGCGCTACTGCGGCGGTACTACGAGAAGGCGTTCGAGGATTTCCAGCAGCTCAACTGCCGCGCTATTGCAAAATCCTATATTAAGCTTGTCGAGCCGAGGAAGCAGGTCCATTACCCGTACAACGGACGCAGGGTTATTGCCGGCGTCTCACAGCGTGTCGACCCGGAGTTCACCAAGCCTGCATGGTGGCCTGCTGGTGTCTTACACAAGGAGCCTGATCATCTGCTCAAGCCTGGTGAGACATCCTTTCGAAATCGCGGATATGAGATCTTGATTAATACTAACTGACGATAGATCGACTGCGACTTCTTGTTCATATCCTCTGTGAACTAAAGGATAGCCACGGAGTCACAACAGGTAAGCTGCGAGACGCTGGCCAAGACGTGAGACGCCAGATTACCCCTGCCCACCGGCTGCAGGTTCTAGACGAGATCTATTTTGTGCGCCAAATGGAAGAACAGTTTTTGGATGGCGAAATCGGTATGTGTCACACTGCCCTCACACAAGGCCTAATCAGTTCCACTAACCATGTCGGTATTCTTGTTCCTATAGACGCCAGTACCTTGATTCAGGTAACACAGACACATCTACCAGAAGCAATCTTCCCAGACAGTAATGAACTATCATCCCGTGCACACGCAGCGCCAGTGACAGCTTCTGTGGTCGAGGCCGAACACGACATGCACGATGCAGATGATAATCCCAGCATTCCCACGCTAGAAGAAGATGACTCAAAGCTACACCACTCTAGTCTGCCACTCTCACCCACCACTAGCGAGTCAAGTGGCCCACAAAGCCCAACAGGCAGTTTCGGCTATCCAATGGGCATAGCACCATCAGTGCATGTAATACCCCCTCTCGAGTCCCCAAATGTCACAAAATCTATGCATCCGGACCCGAGTTATCTCTCTGGATACTACTCACAGCCGTTTGTGTCTGATAAAGGGCCCGGGTTCTGGCCACATGCCAACCCTGCGTCGCAGTTTGGATATTGATGTTATTTTTTCTTCTCTTTCGCCAGTACAGACCTGGAGTTTGTGAGCGTTTGACTGGACACGAATATGGGAATTCGCTGATTGCTTTTTTCTATATATATATTTTCCTTGGGATGGGTTGTCAACTCGCTTTCGTATACGAAAAGTTAGGGAGAATGCGCAACGAATTAATGGAACAACTTAATACGGCAAACTAGAAGCAAGTAGAGGACGAGAGAGTAGGACCTATAAAGTTTGCTGCCTCAGGCGACAACTTCCCACCTGGGCCAAGACAGCTCGCTGATTGGATCCGCATGACGATCCCCCAGCGCAGCTTCTCCGTCCAACCACCATTCACATCACGAGCACACCTCAACTTCTCACCTTCTCGCTGGCTGTTGTCCGAGTATCTTCTCAACCTTCCCGAGCTGCATCAAAAGCAGCGGCAGTTCTATATTACCGTTTTCGTGTCATGCGGCAGTGAGTCCGGATCTGTTTACTCTGTGGATCGCCAACCACAGTTCGCTATCTTCGCCTTGTGCCAATAAACGCGTGATCTGCCGATAAGGTAAGCTTGTCGGTTTCTTTAATTGCCCCTCATTTCTATATAATGGTGTGTTTCGAGAACCTGCGTTTGTCTGCCATATATCTACCAAGCTGTGCTCTTTGGGCTTGTTGCAACTATGGGGATGCTAACGTTGAACCGTTTCCTCAGTCGACCATATCCCAACACACGGGACGGACCGACGATCCTCTGCTTTCAGCGACAGTTTTTGATGGAAAGCACCAGATCGAGAAGAAAGTCTGATCCCACCATGTCAGCCGAACCGCCGGTCTCCACGCCAGTCCTGGATGAGATCGATGTGCCGTTCCCTCCGGACGACTTCACGGACAACGATGAATGTGGCTCTCCTCCCACATCCCCAGGAAGACTGTCGCGCAACGGCTCCTTCTCAAACAGCAGCTCGTACCAGGAGGACTGGGAGTCATTTCCACCACTGGACAAGCTAACTATTTTCGACCTACTCGACAACATCCAGCTCTCACAGCGCCTGGAGAAATGGCAGCAGACCATCGCCATGCAAAAGGACAAGGTGCGCAAGCAGCGGGAGAAGCTCAAGTCGTCTTCCTTGAATGCCAAGGATCGTGTTGTGGGTGAGTGGAAGCGCCGGGCACCGACCGCCGATGAGAAGCTGGAGAAATATCGTTCTCGGATGAAGCAGGGTGTAGAGCGCCTGGGAAAGCAGTGGAACAAGACGGTGACTGTCACCATCCAGGAGAAGGTGTCTTTTATTGCTGGTGTACTCAATATCTTCATCAGCGGGTACCTGATCGGTGCTTGCCCAGAGTACTTTTACATCTGGTTTAGCGCCCAGCTGGCATATTTTATGCCCATCCGCTACTTCAGGTACCATGCCAAGGGTTACCACTACTTCTTGGCCGATCTCTGCTACTTCGTCAATTTGCTCTGCATGCTGAGTATTTGGGTCTTCCCTAACTCGAAACGGCTTTTTATCAGCACCTTCTGCTTGACTTTCGGAAACAATGCTGCCGCAATCGCCATGTGGCGCAACTCTATGGTCTTCCACAGTATGGACAAGGTTGTCAGGTACGTTATATATCTAAAGGAACAGAGTTCGTCCGCTCATCTGTCTCTGCAGTCTCTTCATCCATATTATGCCACCGGTAGCTTTGCACTGCATCGTACACTTGACTCCGGTTGAGAAACTCAAGGAACGCTTCCCTGCTGTCTACAACATCAAATTCAGCCAGCCCGGGGACCCGGAGCATTATGGTCTTGGTGCCATGATAGTCTTGTCCACGGCCCCCTATCTAGTGTGGCAGCTCATGTACCACTTCCTGATCACTGTGCGCCGCCGCGAGAAAATCGCCGCGGGTCGCCCGACCAGCTTCACCTGGCTGCGCAAGTCATACTCCAAGGCGTGGATTGGGCGATTTGTGCTGAGTCTGCCTGAGGCGCTGCAAGAGCCATGCTTCATGTTCATCCAGTACGGGTTTGCTTTATCCACGATGATCCCCTGCCCGATCTGGTTCTGGTACAAATGGGCCAGCGGTCTGTATATGTCTGCGCTCTTCGTCTGGAGCATCCATAATGGAGCAACTTACTACATCGACGTCTTTGGAAAGCGCTTCCAAAAGGAGCTGGAGCAGCTCAAGACAGATGTGGCACGTTGGCAGAGCTCTCCCGAAGGAACAACCAGTCCTTTCCTTGTCCCTGAGCCCAGTCCTCTCAGTGAAGCTATCAATGCACACAACGGGGACAAGCGATCCAGTGTCGATCGAATTCCCTTGTTGGATACTGCCGAGGCCTCTTCTACTGATGTCTTGGAGCAAAGTTTAAACAAGGACTCTCTTATTCGAGAGCGAACTTGAACCTTAGAGGACATACTATTCTGTTACCGTCGTTTTTGCCAGTCTTTATATACCCTGATGTTGTTGGTTTCCTTTGTCAGAATTCAAGGAGTTTGAAATTACTGAGCGAGTTTCGTTATTAATGGTATAAGTGTAGAAAAGGACTATCCAGATTGATATTCTGCAGATTGATAATATAAGGATTGATTATTGCACAATGAAATACTTGGCATCCTCGTAGGTCTGTTCTAGAACTCCGGGTATCTGTTTAACCCCGAGCAAAACCCGAGGCGGTATCGGCTGTCACGTGCAAGATGACTGCGGCAGTACATCACAACATCTCATCGGATCCGGTTCCAGGACATTCCAAACTTTTTTGTATCAATCTATTGCTGTGATTTTTTTGGGTTCATCCCGTGGACATTAGGATTTATCATTTCTTTCATTGTTGTTGCACCTACAAACCCCTTGCTCGTCACTTCGAGCGCTTACTTTTTCGCCCAACCTTTCCCGCAAATGTCCGCTACCATGAGAACGACCGGATTGGTCCGCGGAACACCTGCTTTCCGGTCTGCGCTGATCGGTAAGCGATGAATATCCCCAAGAAAATAGATGACAATGGCAGTTGCTGACACTTTTCTCAGCAGGCCGTAGTCGTTCCAGTGCAATCAGCCCGGCCTCCATTGCAGCCCGCAGTCTTCTACGAAATGGCCGCGACCTGCCATCCCAAATATCGGCGCTTGCCGTTCTGATCCCTCAGCGTGGATATGCGACCGAGCAATCCACATCGAACAATCCTTCTCAGAACTACCCTCCCCCCGGGTTCAATGCTGAGCAAGCCAAGAAGCCGCTCTCCCAAGAACAGACCACAGTGTCACAATCTACAGTCGCCAAGACCCAGCCCGCCGAGACACAGTCAACTGCTAGCAAGCAAACAGACGCTGGAGTTGTCGCAAAGATGAACCCGGAGGACCAGAAGTTGGCCGAGAAGAAGAATGCGAAAAAGTTGACGCTTGGACAAAAGATCAAGAAAGAGTTGCAGCACTACTGGGACGGCACAAAGTTGCTTTCCACCGAGGTCAAGATTAGTTCCAGACTGGCGTTGAAGATGGCCGGTGGTTATGAGCTCAGTCGTCGAGAGCATCGCCAGGTATGTTTGCGCCACCAGGAATATTTCGATGTCTTGTACTGTTTGGCTAACCTTAGTTTGATTATAGCTCCAACGTACTACGAAGGATCTTGGACGTTTGGTTCCATTTTCGATGTTCCTCATCGTTCCCTTTGCCGAACTCCTGCTCCCCGTCGCCCTAAAGATCTTCCCCAACATGCTCCCCAGCACCTATGAGGGGCAGAAGGCCCGCGATGCCAAGGCGTTGAACCTCAGATCGACCCGCAAAGAAGTTTCTGGATTCTTGCGCAACACCATACGTGAGAGCGGTCTGCCCTTGACCGCTGCCACCGTCAAGAACGAGGAATTCACAGACTTTTTCCGCAAGATCCGCACCACCGGCGAATCGCCCTCAACAGAGGATGTCATCAAGGTCTGCAAGATCTTCAAGGATGACCTGACCCTTGACAACCTGTCTCGACCACAGCTGGTCGGCATTTGCCGCTACATGAACCTGAATGCCTTTGGTACCGACGCCATGCTCCGGTACACCATCCGACACCGCATGCGCCAGATCAAGCGTGATGACCGTGCGATCTACCACGAGGGTGTTGATTCGCTCTCCGTTCCCGAACTGCAGATGGCCAGCGCCTCGCGCGGAATCCGCACACACGGCGTCTCCCCCGCGCGCCTGCGGGAGGATCTCGACATGTGGCTCGAGCTGCGTCTCAAGCAGGGCGTTCCGTCAACTCTGTTGGTTTTGAGCAATGCCTACCTGTACACGCAGGGTAGCAAGGAGTCCGAGTTTGCGTCACAAATCGACGCGCTCAAGTCTGTGCTCTCCAGCATTCCGGAGGAGTTGTTCCACGAGATCGAGCTCGAGGTCCACAATGCCGAGGGTGCTGCTACCAACAAGCAGCGTCTTGAGGTTATCAAGGAGCAGGAGGAGCTGATCGAGGAGGAGAATGAGCAGAACAGCGAGAACGAGGGCAAGGGTGTTTCCGCGCCTAAGGATATCGATGATATCGACGAGAAGGAGGAGGCTAAGGGTGAGGCTCTGGCTGATGGCGCTAAGCAGTCTGCTGAGGCTAACGAGGCCTTGGTAGAAGGTGAGCGCGCCGAGAAGGTCGCCGAGGCCACCGAGTCCAAGGAGAAGAAGGGCGAAAGTTTGTAGTTCATATGAATATGGCGATTTCTTTCTGTTTTGATTTCCCGCATGTTTTGGTTTGGGTTGCACATGTCATATAGATGGTTGCTTTCTTTTGGTTGGCTCTCACTTGGTTTCCTTTCTTTCTTTCAGTTCTCATCCTGTCTTATTTATTTTCCCTATGTTGATAGACCATTTGATCCCCGCCTCTCTTTATTTATTGCTTCTGTGATCTGTGTGGCTTGTATACTCTATTGATTCCCTTTGGCTATTTCATATAACTGTATCATAGATAACTGTGGATAACTGTAAAGTGAACAGTGAACAAACCCAATAACTACTATATATTTCTCTTCAAGTACTTGTAATACTAGCGCTTTAAAAGTATTCTCCGATTATATCATTAGTCACCGACATTCTCGAGTTACCTCGGCTACTTCACCAAACCCCCATCTTTTCCCATAACTGTTCTACGGAGTATACTATACGGAGCACATCGGTATAACGAACTTTGAAATGCGAAGACCTCAGCTCAACCTTCGGACACTTTTCAATATAATCCAGACCCAAAATCAACCCAGATTATTCCACTCCAGCGGCATCAAGCCAGAACGAACTTCCGAAATAATGGCCCCCCTAAATCCCATCTCTCAGGTATGTGTAACTTGTTCTCTGCAACTACCCGAAAAGACCGCGTGTCCACCTGTGTAATGTTGAATCTGCTGTGTCCATTTTGCCATGCGTATTATCCCTGCCATTTCCCTCCTGTTTTCCCCCCTTAGCCACGGGTTGTCTTAAATTGCCATGTTTCTTTTCTTTTTTTGACGATCATCCCTGGATGTGTATCCAAGGAGGGGAGATATGGTTTGAGTTTCGGCTTCAAGTCTTACGTCTTGGACTTGAAACCCTTTTGATTCGGGGAAGAGAGATGGAACATTCTTTTCTTTGTCTAAGACAAGTTCTCCACATTCAAGGTTTTGTTCAAACCGAAACCTCCATTCCCTTTCCCCGTGGATGTCCATCCCGATGTTGAAACCCAACCCCATAGTATGTATACCCTGACACTTATGATGTATACAAAATAGGAAGCAATCAGCAGACTCCGAAACTACATCCCCCCGCCAACAGTGTACAACTCGGTTCCGCTAAGCAGACGGGCGGCTGTGCTGATACTGCTCTTCGCCGATGCCAAGGGCGACCTTAAGGTGGTTGTTACGATCCGGGCTAAGACACTAAGTTCGTGTAAGTCTAAGAGGAAAATTACGTGTGGATCAGCCCTGTTTTCAGGTGCATGACATGGGTTGGTTGTTCGGGACAAGCTAATCTTGTTCGGTAGATGCAGGAGATGCTGCTTTGCCTGGTGGTAAGTTGGGAGTTTCCGTCAATGCGAAAATAAAAGAAATACAAAAAAAGAAAAGCCCAAAGCCGAGTCAAGTTTGACGCCTTGAATGAATCGGGGGAAAAAGGAGAAAAAAAGAAAACATAAACTGACCCCTTCAATTCGTAGGCCGAGCAGACAACAAAGAAACAGCCTTTCAAACGGCGCGCCGCGAGGCAAATGAGGAGATCGGCCTCCCCGATATTAACCAAAAGTTTCTACCCCCGTTCAGCGTGGAGCACCTCTGCGAGTTCCCGGCCAATCTTGCTAAAACGGAGGTGGTTGTACGTCCCTGCGTCGCTCTCCTCCACAGTTATGACCCTGGATTGGGGCTGAATGCCGATCCTGAGTTGTCGCTTATTCCTATTTTGGATGCGAGAGAGGTTGAGGCTGTTTTTACTGCGCCATTCAAGGATTTTTTGAGTGAGAGTGTACAGAACGGTCATGAATGGTATCGTGGATCTTGGGGGATGTGGCATAATTCACACTGGAGGAGTAAGTATATTTTTCTTCTCTTTGTTCTTTTTTCGTAGATGTCCCATATGGGACTGGATGTTTCTTTTAGACTTTCTTCTCTTCTTTCTTTGTCCCAAAACAGGAAATAGGGGGCCAGTCCAGCCCAGAGACTAACAACGCCACTAGTGCATCAGTTCTTTGTTCGCGGAGAAGATCAAGTCTACCGTATCTTTGGCATGACAGCACGAATTATCGTCGATGCAGCCCGTGTCGCATACGCACAGGAACCGGAATTCGAGCATAACAGTCACTTTGGCGACGAGGAGATGATCGCCAAACTTCGTCAGTTGGGCCGATTAGGGGAGAAGGAAAAGGCAGCCAAACTCAGTTAGGCATATAGGTAGACATGTATGGACAAGTATATATAGCCAATCATATCTTCTGTCAAGCGGAGTAAGGGCGATCGAACTGGTCCTTGCGTCAGTTCGTTTGACGATGTTTACGCGTATATTTACCGTATATTATATTATATTAGTTATATTATATTATAAGGTATTATTAGCTATATTATAATAGGTTGGTATATATTACCTTGGATACTTTCTGTTCTCTCCTTACGTTTGATATCACTAATATATCCCTCCTCTCTCTTTGTCTCTTACTGCTGTGGCTTCCACTTCTTTGATGTAGTACTTCTTTGATGTAGTATCTTCTTTGATGTATTATTTTTATACTTCCCACTGAATTTTTCGACTTCCTCGAATCCCGGAAATGCCTTCCCCGACCTTTCTATATCATAGTCGGACGGCACCTCCCGTTCGACCATCACGCTCACTCGAAGGACTCGAGCGAGTAATCCCACCACTTTCACCCAACCCTCCCTTCTCTACTCGCTCCGATCTCTTTCTCAACAAACCTCTCCCCGCAAAACCCCTTCCCGAACAACCAGAGTGTTCGGCTATGTGGAGTGACTCCAGCGATAGCGACAGCGACACCGAAAGTACCCTCGATAGCATCACCGGACCCAGTGAACCCCGCAACTCAGCAGATAGCTATCCCATCTTCGTCAGTTCTGGCTCCGACTTCGACGACATGGGCGATCACCCGGCTCCATCCGCCGATCAGCTTCTGAGACTGTCCCCGCAACCTCCACATAAACGCACGGACTCGATCAGTATCAATGTCCCATCAATTGTCGAGCCCTCAACATCAGTTTCGTCTTCCTTTTCCGACACACAGTACGTGCGTCCGCCGCACTGGAGCCAAAACCGCACAGGAACGAACCACTACTTCCGCGAGAAAAAGTGGGATTATTTCCCCGAATTGGCTCCTTCCGCCCTACAGGCCAGTGGCCGCATCAGCCCAAATACGGTTGCACCGAACAATAAAACCCGCAAATTATGCAACCCACTGGATTTCGCCAAGGGCAAGTACCGCTGGCACTCGCTCGACCGCGTTGGTTTCAGCGGGGTCCGCCACTCGATCAAGACTTATGTCCACCGAACTCTCTCGCGCGACTCGACGGGAAATAAAAAGGAAATTCCCCGTCCGGCGACGGCGCCTATGGACTACTATCTCAATGATGTGGGAGATATACTCGGCAAAACAGTCCCGGTACAGCAATTCTCCTTGGCCTTGGACACGAAGGTCGCGCGAGCTACATCCGTGGCTACATCCTTGGCTACATCCTCGAGCAGCGAGTATGACTGTACCAACCACAAGTTCCATCTTCAAACGCCAATCTCACCAACATCGCCTACTTCTCTCAAAACACCCACAACACCGCGGCCGAAACAACTAGCGGTTCCGCTAACCGCGTATCAGAAACACGGCCCTGTGAGTTGGGAATCGCCCAAGAGTTGGGAACCGCCCAAGAGTTGGGAGTCGCCCATGAGTTGGGAATCGCCCAAGAAATCCAAGAAGCGGAGTGTTCTGTCCCCGAGATACAAGTGTTCGCCCGGCTCGGATGCAGAGCTGTCTTCGTCTTCGGCTCCCGACTTATCTTATGGAACTGCCACCTCTTCTTTATCTCCGCGGAAGCAGTCCCAGCACAATACCAGAGGGGTATTCCTGGGTGCGAGGAAAAAGATCGTGGAGTCGAAGGATGATCGCAGAAGGGAGCAGCTGAAGGCTCAGATCAAGTTTGTCGGGCCTGTCAACCCAGATACTTATGTGCAGGCTGATCCAAAGGTTTGAGGTTTGGTCTTTTGCCTTGCTGAAACTACGTTGGCCTTTTTTTTTTATTGTCTTTCAGCACTCACTCAAATCACGACATCTCACGACAACATATCTATACCAATACCCTCTTTGCTTCATAACTTTGTTCTTGTTTTGACTTTAACTGCATCATTTCTCTCTTCACCCGCACATTGATCTTTTTTTCCCCCACTCTCCCTAACCAATTTCCCTTCTACCCGGGATTACCGAGCACTCCTTACATACCATTTTATTCTATTCCTTTTGTATCTTTGTTGGCCTCTTCGTTTGTACTACTGTCAATATTATAGACAATTGCAGGTGTTTTCTGAGGAGGATTTCTAGCTTAACATCCATGGATGGTTTGAGCCGCTGACTGACTAAAAGTCTGAGTCAGCTCTTTAATCTGAATTACAATTGGATTCAATGAATATCGCTACCAGGTTTCAGGCTGATCACCTCAATTTTGGACACTCAACTGTATCCTTAAACCCAAGTAATCGCAATTAAACTTATCTGCACAACACCTATATCAGACCAGTTATACAGACGTATCTAGTATATCTGGTTTCTTACATGTATGCACATACATACACAGACGCCAGACAGACGCAGCTGCAATCCAAAATGACCAACGTGGATCGCCACTGTCAGGCAATCATTCCAGTCATATTTAATACACGCCCGCCTTCACACTCAAATGTTAAGTCCACTCCGGTTCTAGTCTAGTTGCTGAATCCACACCTACTCGACTTGTATGTTCTAATTGGTTTATGATGCAGGGGTAAGGGTAAGGGTCTTTATATTGCAAACCTATCTGCCAAATAATGTACGTAGATAGGACGAGACTAAATGCTAAATTCTAAAGGATTTCAATGTAACAGCAAGAAAACATTTTCCGAGTGCGTGTAACCACAACCTCGTGTCGACAAGCAGTTCTCCTCGGAACTAGCGGTGTCCAGTTCGATGAGCTGTTCGTCGATGAACGGGGAATACATATTGTTGTGCAGGATTAAACCAGGGTTTGGAGTCTGATTAGCGTTGGAATTTCCCCGCTTTTGGATACATATATAGTTGTCACCGACTTTTCGGAGTTGATCTCCTTCGCTATATATGGATAAGGATCGGTGGGTTTGGGGTAGGTTGGTGCGCTAATGCGGTGTGTCCTGCATTCACTGAGCTAGCATCGGCGCGGTGATCGGTCATAATTCTACGATGATCTAGATCATAGATTGGATGTTGGGTTTATGTTATCTTAGCTAATATGGAGTATGTACATGTGGTAGCCCAAGATTGATATTCCAAGGTTGTGTCATACATGGTGGATATTTACGGCAGTGTATAGCCGCCAGTGCGCCATATCGTATTTTGCCAGCCGAACATTTCATAGAATTAGTATGTGGGTATTTTTATTGACCATAGAAATTGATAGAAATTGATAGTGTAGAAGATGACACTATAAGAAGTTGATATTGTAGAAATTGAAATATCATAGACAAAGAATAGTCGGCCACTTATACGGCCGTAGTCTGGTGGTCTTCTTAGGTAGTCTTCTCCGATAGTCTTCTTATATGTCTTTTTAGGGGTCTTTTTTAGTAGTCTCCTTAGGTAGTCTTCCTAGATATCTAGTTATTGTTTGCCACGGTGAGCGGGCCGCCAGAAACGGCTCCCATTGCACCACCGTCCTGCCACCCTCGACCGCCTGCCCACCTTTGCCTTGCGCTTTCCCTTCCGGGTAAGGCGCCCTCACCCTATACCAAGATGGTCCACAAATCTTTTCTCGAACCCTACTTTGAGCCACGCTAATCGAACTTTAGTTACCCCTAGAAATACCCTTGCTAAGTTATATTGTCTTGGTTGACGGTAAAAAAATGAGCCATTGTTATGATACAGCAAGGTTTTATGGAATCTCGTAGAATATTTTATTCAAACAGCCCAAACCGAGTGGAAACCGGCGAAAGCCCCTATAAGGGAATGTCCTCTTTGCAATAAGCGCGTCCTCTAGAGTTGTTTGCCACTGTCAGGTCGAGCTGTTCGGTTCCCGGAGAATCCAGTCGTGAGAGGCATCACGGCATTGAATGCCGAATCCATAACACTCCAGGCATATATCAAAATCATGACAAACTTCGCAACGATGGTCGGCGCAACCCGATGATATACAGCGAGTGCACACATCGCACGACCTAGAAGCCCGGTCGAATGGGACTAAATAGCATCCCACCGTGAGGTCCCTTTCGCAGATCTCAATATCCATTCTCTGAGCCCATTTCCGCACGAGGTCAATGATACTAGCACATCCGGATTTCGTTGCCCACCAGGCCAAATTCCGGTCTAATCCATTCCCAAATTCGGCTGTGGTTTCTGTTAACGAAAGCAAAATCTCAACCGCTTCTTGATGTCCATTTCTGATTGCAGCGCACAGCGGAGACGTGCCATAGCGGTCATTCACATTCGGAAGAGCAGTATATGAAATCAGTAAGCGTATAACTTCACTGTGACCTCTTGTCGCAGCAAAGAAGAGAGATGTCCGTCCGTCATTATCCTGAACATGAAGGCTAGCTTGTAAAGACTGGAAGAGGAGCTTGACCACATCCACATGACCGTCTTCTGCGGCTATATGTAGAGCTGTGCACCCTCTCTTGTCTACAACACTAATATTCGCCCCCTGGTTGAGCAGAAGCTTCACCACCTCGAGATGGCAGTTTGATGCCGCAGAATAAAGAGGTGTCCATCCGTCGTTGTTTGCAACTCCGATATCCGCTCCGTTTTCGAGGAGAAGCTTGACTACCTCGAGATGGCGGTTTGATGAGGCTGCATTGACTGGTGTCCATCCGTCGTTGTCCGTAACTGTGACTTCCGCCCCGTCGTCGAGGAGAACCTTGATCACCTCCAGATGACCGTTTGATGGGTGGAAAAAAGAGGTGTCCGCCTGTCCTTGTCCGCGACTTTGAGATCTGCCCCATTTCCAAGCAACATCCCCGCAACCCTAAAATGTCCCTTTTCACAGGCTACTACCAATGCTGTCCGGTCCTCCCGTGACTCCCTTTTCATTCGCGCTATACTTGCGGTCATAGATCAAAAATTCTAGCGTGCTGATTAACCCAATCGGGCTGCATAATACATCGGGCTGGATATGTTTGTTAGGGTGTGTTTAATCCTAGGTTCTTCTTCTCCGCTTTCCCTGCCTATTGAATCAACCCATTATCTCCACAAGGCCCAGTTTGGTCTCCTCATGTCAAAAGGCCGATCCACGAGTTCAACCACCCCAGAGTCCGTTGCGTCACCCAAAGAGGCATATTGTTGCCATGAGCTTGCGGCGTAATCTAAGAAAGAGCCAAAGACCCGATCATTTCTGCACAAGGATCTTTTCGCCAGACCGTTAGACAGTTCATATAACGGAGACACATCTTAGATAGTAACGTGTTCTCCGCGGGTTCTGTAAAGCAGCCGAGAGTCTTGTTGAGCTGCATAAGTCTCCCGTATATTGGAATATTATAAAGCAAATACTATTTGACTGAGAAATGAGCCAAATGCACCGTTCGCAATTCAGCATCGCAATTCTCTTAGGGGCTCCGAATCTCCAGGAGTGACCCGCAATACAATAAGATCCCGTTGTCAATGTAGTCCATGTCGATACTTTCCGGTAGCTCGTCAACTCGGACTTCGTCACAGTGTTCACTAATGAGTAGGGCTTCGGTCATCTCACTAACCGCCAGTGGTCGCACAGAAATGGTTGCCCAGCGCAGCAAGGAAACCGCTCGGTCTCGATCTTCGTCGGGGAGCTTTGAAATCTCCATCCAGTTCCGTTCGTAGATATGTTCAAGCCCAGTCGGAGTAGACATGATTACATGTTCTAGCTCCTTTTAGCTTTTCCAGCTGTGCCGAGGTAGAGATTCTCCTTGCATCTTCACCCACAAGAATTGTCCGTTGCACCGATCAACTAATCTTTCGCTGAGTCTTTCCTTTACTATGTCTGTCTTCTTTGGCAAATTCCTATGGACAATTCTTCGAGAATATGACATAACATCAGACCGAACATCGTCGGCGGTGATCTTATGCTCGGTTACGGAAGCGTCGTGGGAATGGTTAGGGAGGGTAGTTCGAATTTCTGGTTCATCGCGGCTGACAATCATGAAACGCGTGGCTGCATTTGCAATCGCTGGTCTCAAAGGTTCCATCAAGGCGGAAATAGAGTCACTATCACCGGCAACCTGATTCTCTTTAAGCCAACTGCATTCATCCAGCCCATCCATGATAAAAGTGCACCCAGGTATGGCAATGACAATCTCTCGCAGAAGGTCTATAACGTCCCCACGTGTTGCTTTCTGTCCTTGCTGAGCAATCCACCTTTTTTGAATCAACTCAAATCCTATTGAGTGAGACATCACTTGAGCTACTCATGATCTTATAACGACGAAAGGATCCGCTCTTTCAGAATCAGTCGAAAAAAAGGAAATGGGCGACAGGTGCCTCCAGCATGCAAGACAGACGATCAATAACCCTCGTGCATAGGATAGATTTTCTAAATCGCGCGGGGCCATTGATCCAAAGGATCTTGGCATGCCCTTTTGGGAAATGGGATGACGACCAGTCCAAAAACCAATGTCGGTTTAGAATCCATTCGCAGGAGCTTTTCATCCTCCTTTGCATATTGATTTCGTATATTTCGTTGGGAAGGTGGTCGCCCAGCAGCCATGTGTGTTACTTTCTTGCTCCTCGTTGCTCCCAATGAGCAGTAAAATTATATACATCTCCCTTGACACTAACCAAAAACAAGGCCACAGAAATTACCGTCATGCGCAAAGACCAATACGATATATATCGAAAATTAGATTGCTCTATACCGTCCACTTATCAGAGGCCCTGTCACAGTCGAGTGAAAATCACCAGCATAGCGTTGGAAACGCACCAGAAGTACGTTCTTGTCTTTGTCGTCTTGTCGGCTGGTTTCCCGCGGTTGTGGATTGTTTGTGCGGGCTGCGATAGCCGCCCACCACCGTGTCGGAGTCGATGTGTTTAGCCTCTACCTGCGACCGTAGCGCTAGGATCTCCTCCTATAGCTTCTTATTCTGAGTTTGGAGCTCGTTCTGGTTATCTTTCACTTCTCTTAGTTCGGTCTGGGTGGCGTGAATAAGCGTGGTTTGCTCTTTAATGGTGCGTTATAGGTGTACGATAATCTGCCAAATCTCTCTGGTTGTCACTCATCACAGGATCCGGAGCCGCGTGGGCCTGCTCGCTTTCGATTAGTGCATGTCTCCTAGTCCAGGCTGTGGTCGTTGGTGTAAGGTTTTCCGATCCGTCGATGTATGTGCCTCTTCGCGCGTGCGTGGTGGCAAGGGGCTTGGGAGCCCCCGTGGGTAGGTCCGCCATTCGTCTGGCGTTAGCTCCCGCTCGGCACATAACACAATAATGTTATAACGCAATAGTATCAACCACAACGTCTTATCCCAATGTGTGGCGTCTTCATATCCCCGAGCCGTACCCATGCTATACCAACCGCAGACATCGTGGTGTACTCGGATGCCTCGGGACGAGAAGGTCATCTGGGTGCCGTAGCGGCCGTGCTGAACGACTCACTGGAAACAATCGACAGCATATAAGTGCAGGTTGGGCCTATGGATCGATGGTCCGTACATGCCGCCGAGCTGATTGGGATCCTGTACGCCATTAAAATCATTAACAAGGTCGCTCTCCGACACTGGAGAACATCCCATACACGGGTGAGATCTGCCACTATCATTAGTGATAGCAAGTCGGCCATACAGCAGTCTAGAATTCCGGGAACAAGTCGGGATAATAGATCATCTATGCCATTCTACAAGCAGCTAGGAACACTAAGACCCACGGCATATCGATACGATTATAGTGGATACCCAGACATTGCGAAATGACCGGTAATGACACTGCCGATTTACTGGCTAAAGAGGCAGCTATACCGGGAAAAACACACCCGTTCTGCTTTTTCCTATCACGCGAGAGAGCACGTATTAGGCAAGGGATCCACGTCTAGCGGAAGAAAGAATGGAACGAGTCGAGCACCAGCGCCTATCTGCGTTAGATCGACGACAAACTACCGGCTAAGTATACTAGACGGCTCTACGGCTCTCTGACTAGAAATCGAGCGTACCTACTAACGTAGTTGCGAACCGGACACTGCTGGTTGTTAACATACGCAAAAGCTTTCCGATTCCGAAACGACGATCTGTGCGTCTATGGTGAACGGGAAAGCGTTCACCACGTGTTGTTAGATTGCCCGAGACTGGGAATATTAAGGAGAGATCTCCGAGGAGAGGTTGGCGACGCTTTTAACAGCATATCAACGCTGTTGGGTGGACTAGGAGAAGAAGGAAGAGGTAAGATTGACAGTGCTTCACGGACTAAGACAGTGGAGGCTGTCTTGGATTTCGCTGAAGCCTCGCGACGGCTTCGAAGTCGCGCGACATAAGGGCAGCATAAACATAACGACGGCACAGAGGGCACGGCAGGCCTCGGCGAGGCTCTAAGTTCGCTTAGGAAGTGGTACACGAGACATGTACATAGGAAGATATATATAGTAGTTGTAGGCTGTATATCGTTTCGACGAGGGGTCAGCGTAAATGAATTACACACACACATACTGCAACTGAAAACGTCTGCTAAGATATTAAGTTCACAGGACAAAAGTGACTGGTGAACCACCCTTCGGTAAATGGCTTAAACTAAATACAAGGAATTCCAAAGAAACGCCTCTCGGCGTCTAAAAAGGTTGAAAATCTGGCGAAGGGATTTTTTGAGTAGCCCAGGGGACATCGAAAATCGACGGTGGAATGATTGGCTCCTCACGCTCCTTCTTTTCCGCCATATCGGTGATCATCCAAGGATCTGGCTTTTCGAAGACGACATAGTAGTTCTCAATACTCGTCGACAACGTCCGCAGCCAGTAAGTGATATGACCCAGGAGATCATACTGAGTTCGAGATCGTTTAGCGAAATCACTGTACCACTCTTCTCTTGCCCCTTCCATCTCGCAACGAAACACTGAGACGAACTCCTTCGTTCCGGGTTCCTTGTCTCTGTGCGCGCAATGTTGATCCGGAGCCCATGCACCGCAATTGGTAATGAAAGCGGACCATGGAGAAGTTTGGCCGCCTTGAATGACTTGCTGGATCAAAGTCCTGTGATATTGATAGTGTTAGTAAAGCAGCATCATAAAGTACTGGGTAAAACAGAGTCAACAGGTGTCGTTGAAAGTATGCACATACTGCCTGTAATTGTTCATGGCATATTCAAAATGAACGTCGGTCATTCTTATTCACTGAGACATGGAAATTGGTTATGTCCGCATTGGAAATACTGTCCAGGCTCCGTGGGCCTGCTGTTCTTCTGTAGGATAGCTCCTGGATAGAATTTCCGCATCCAACCGAGAAATCATGAAGATATTCTTGCAGTCGAGCTTCGCATTCTTCCCTAGGTAATTTGGTATTCGTGAGTTCTTCAAAGAAGCAGAGTCAGCTCCGCTAATAATTCATTTTTGCCCTATTAGGGAAGGCAAACATACCAAGGAAAAGTAGGAATTTGTCGCAGTCCCCTTCATTTTCTTTTTCTTTACCCCAAGCGAGTGGGGGGCAATCCCCGAGTTTCCATAATTTCACACGAAGTGCTTCAAGTTGACTCTGTACCTGTGTGTTTCCACGCTGAGTACGGAAAGAAATCATTTGAACGACATCCACCTCTGAGCTGTTCATTTGACGGGGTAGATGATGCTGAGAGATGTGTGCCATTATGTACCACGCACCGGCGGGCCCAGCAGCTATACGTTCCCGGGGCTTTCTTCGCGCCTGAGACATACTTTCCACATGATACTTATCTTTACCAGACTCATTTTGATCTTCTTTGGCGCTGTATATTGGCTTTACATCTATGTGGAAAGCCTGATGCTTGATTTGACACTGCGTGGAGTCTGGTAGAGGATCACCGGATACGTGATTGAGCTGGCCTGTGCAAGCCGAGACCATATGCATCGCATCTTCGATGAGCTCTGCTATATGTTTTGTGAGATTTTGACTACCTCCCCCTCGAAGCTGCAGATGACCCTCAAATTGTGGAGTCGAGTTCCAAAAGAGCAGGCCAATAAAAAACTGGTCCTCCGATTCTTGGTCTCTTTGTAGCCATTGCCCACAGGCGTGAGCTAATTCGGAGCTTGGAATAATCCCATTGACAGGTTTGGGAAATGCGTTTCCCCATTTGGCTTTGAAGCCAGCTTTCTCGTCCAGCTGAGAAGCAGATAGAGCTGCTGGAAACTGAAAGGAGACCAGCTCGAGGTGACATGAGTCAGGGATGTCGAGGGGCGAATCAATTTGAACGGTTGGAGGCTTGGGAGATATATCCCAGCATCATGCTGAAGCCAAGAGAAGATTGGAATAGTCTCCAGCCAAGCACGTTTTCCCACTGGATCAGTACGATAATCTGCTGACACGGCGAGACATCGTTCACTGACGACCAATGGAGTCTTTGAAAACCAGGGATAGTCGAAACAAAGCGTAAAGACTTCTGCCAGAGTATTGATGCGCGCTGTGATGCATCGGAGACGTCGACGTCGGGATTGAAAGTAAATTGAAGAATCCCAAGGACCGGATCATCGGGAAGTTGGTCGAGTTTGTCTGAATAGTACGGCAGGTCATGAAAACGAGGTATGACTTGCACGTACTCGCCATGAATCCCAATCATTGTGACCTCGGCCTGTAAATATTTCGTGATAAACAGGAAGCCCGGGAGTTCCCAGCTGCGCGTGTCTCAGGTTCGGAATCGGTGAAGAGCCTCGTAGTAGCCTACTGAGTGAGTGAAGTTCTAGCCTCCGTGATTGGTCCCAAAAAGAGACTGGCAAGAATTAGTCTTGGCACTCCAGACAATACATTTTGTTCTCCTCCAAGCCATAGTATCTTACCCGGTTGACAGGCCATACACCTGGAAACAGTATACCTTTACAGTGGTAGACGTAAAAAAAGCCTATCCCTTAAGAAGCCTATATTAACTCTTAACTCCTATTATAGATTCATTATATCGATATCGCTGGTATATTATAATATAGGTTTATTAACTATTAGCTTACTCGATCTTCTAGAATTAGTTAAACAACTTGCAGATCATATCTATATATTATAGATGTCGTAGTTAGCTACCATTTATTAGTGATATGAGTTGGAATGCCCTAACGGAGTCTATTAAAACTCTATATCTTATTAAGGCAGAGATATAAAAATCCAAATTCTATTCTTACGGCTATATAAGAGCTTCTTTAGTAATGAACCCTTACACCTATTTACAACTACGTAGTAAGCTTTGCTCATCGAAGGAAGAGAATGATGGAAGTGACTAACCAAAGGGACAATTCGTTAATAATTCAGATAATATATTCTCCGGCTGATTATATTCAGGGCGTCTGGTGAAGAATAGAGGGCCTTCAGGGCGTTCAGGTGAAGGGGGTTGAAGGGA